TGTATAAATGGGTACAGGCAATTTAATGCTGGGGGTAACCCTGTGATGGACTAGCATCCCATCCAGGGGGGAGTAGAAATACTCCTAGTCGCTTCATGCTACAGAAACTGGAGTTAAGCACTGGCCGAATGGGCCATTAGGCTTGTAAACAGAGTTAACCCTTTAACTCTTAGATGTGATGATTGATTCTCTCCACTAATTGCCAGGCATTTCCTTGTAAATCAGTTGTAGGAATTTGGTGTTAGATCAAGATAACTTCTACCTGATAAGTTCGAATATCCTCGTTACCTGTTTGCTAGATAAGGTGTGGATATTACATGGGGAAGTTACATGCTAATCACTTCTGGGATTTAAAGAGTTAAATGTGGTGAGAACAACTCAATAAATCTGCGGTTAAACTCAACCTTTTACTTTATTTTGACTAAGAACAAAACCTCCATGGCGAATACACGGTCTGCACAAGGCAAAAACTCGAACTAAGTAAAAGTACTTGACATTCGATTTCTGTTACTCGTTTCTTAATACAGGACATGTAACACAACGTCACGTTCTCCTGAACAAAAGGGTTTTATAAATGAAGCACCCTTGTACATATAGCTGTGAAAAAAAAAAATAAAACTCATAAAACTAGAGGTTCGTGGTAAATTACTGAATATCAAAAGTGAAGGTGCATTTAGGTGAGTAATGACTCAGAAGTGTCCTGATATTGGTACCTAGGTACTGCTTTCTAATGAGAACCCCATTTCTTCTTGTCAGAGCAAAGATAAGAAAAAGAGGAAAAAGAAGAAGAAGAAAAAGAAGAAGATTGAGGTATGTGCAGAATTTTTTTTTGGCTGCAAACATAAAAAGTGTTTAAGCCATTCATTGCATTGTGTGTCATGTAGACTTTAAAAAGAGACCACCAAGGGTGTGATGGTCATTCCTAGTTTGTGGTGCCTCAAAAACAACCTCAAAATCAATAACCTAGAGTTGAGTTTTTGAATAACTTAGAGCTTAAGTGTTAGGCACACCATGGTGTCTTGTTCGAAAGATGAAAGAAAGATGTGGATATTTTCGCAACTGCATCATTTCCAGCTCATTCTGAACTTTAAAGCTATGTCTTGAAAAGTTGTCAACCTTCATCTTGAATTTTTCTGTTTGTTGAGCTGATTCTCAACCTCTTGCTCTATACAGTTTGTCCAGGATGTCCAACATGGCACGGAAGAAGAGAAAGAAAATGTTGAAATTGAGTATATTACTGAGTCCATCAGTCCATTGGATCCTAACTACAGAGCATTTGCCAAGATTTTTGAAGCATTCAAGGTATCTCTTTGTGATAAACTGTTTAATATGGTGTATGGAAATTGACCAGGGGATACAATACCTATGCAGTAACTAGGTTTGAAAACCCAACCTTTCACCTTTCATAGTAGTGTGTGCTTAAGTAAAATACAACATACATACATACATACATACNCACAACACAATCCGGCGCTCTAACTAATTGAGCTAACTGGGAGGCGTAAAGTAAGTAAAAGTGTTGTTGTCAGCACTCCACTAAACCCTTAAACCTGAAGGGGACAAACATCTCTGCTAGTACTAACAACAGTTCTTAAGCATGAACTGGCCATTCCTTGAACTAATTTGTGCCATTCCGCACCTTAATCCTAAGAGTGGCATGCATCTAATTTCCCTTCCATTCCCACCTCTGAATCGAGGTTATGAGAATAAAGGAAATTATCACCAACCAAAAAAAAAGCTCTTGACTGTGAAGCAAAATTCTCCTTTTCCAAATATCTAGATAACAGTATGGAGAATTTGTATACTGATGTTAGGGTTGCATGGGTCGACCATTCAACTCACAGGACTTGCCGATAGTTTATTTCTAGCCCGCCATATTATCAATTTTCAAGCAGAAAAGATTAAGAAAGAAACATATGGAAGAGGATATTGTTTGATTCATCTTCACATTTTTTGGACCAAATTTACACAAAATATTTGATAGACACTATGGAGAACTGATAATAAGATCTGAGGAGAAAAGGAGGTAAAAATATGCTGCTTTTTTTCCCCTTCCAAAACAGTTTCATAAGGTTCTAAAAACTCAGCTAAGAATACACATATACCTTAATATCCAGGAAGCCTGCATTGAGATTCTGCTGGCCTTGGTTTATCTGTAAATTGTTTTTCTCAGTTAACCCACACAGTCTAATTTGTTTTGTCCCTTCTTTAAGTTGTCAGATCCTACTGAAAGTGATGCAGCAGAGAAAAAGACTGATGAAAAGGAAGAAACAGTGAGTAAAATTATTGGTCTCCAAAAATTTGAAAACTTGGATGTATCTTTATAGAACGATTTTCTTTGTGTGTTACAGGTAGCGGCAAAAAAGAGTGAAGTGAAAGATCTCACCAAGGATGAGGATGATGATGATGATGATGACGATGACGATGAAGATGTGATGGTGAGGATAAGTTATGAACAATAACAACTGGTAGTATACATGTAACTTACTGGGCATTTTTTACCACTATTGCTACAATCTGATTGGCTACATTACCTGGTATTTATTCTGTGACATAGTAGTTTTGAACAAAACAAAATGAAATTATGAGCCTGCTTTGTTTTTAAGTTTTGAACTACCAATAGATTTAAGTATACTAAAACCACTAGACTATTTGATTTTAATTTTTCTGCTTTGCAAGCCCTCATTGATTATCATGGGATAGAAAGCTCAAGTTCAGAATTTAATTATAAGTTGATGAGATGTCCATCGTAAAGAGCATTGATTGATATTCACAGCAGAGTAGTGTCTCCCTTGTCAACTTTAGTGTTTGGAGGGTCTGATCTCCATCCATGTTGGTATTTTACAGGGGGTAGGGGGGGGGAAGTGGTCATGTCGCATTTGTCTTCTAATTGGAATCTCAAATTCACACCTTAAATATAATTGTTTTTAGTTATTTCTTTGGAACCTGAAATAACAAATGTAATACAATGCAAAATGATCCTTGCCCCAGTTGAAGTAAAATGTAGATTAGAGAATCCTAACACAAGGTCACAATAATGAACACTTTTTGGTTGGTCTCTGGTTTTGACTGCATGGGATTTTAGTGGTAATTGTTTCATGTGTTCTGGTTAATATTCAGTTAACAGCTATTCATCAAGTGGAGGTGGCTTGTGGTAGATATTTACTGAGATGCAAAAACAGAAAGATGATTTTAACTCATTTGTTCTTGCACATTCTTTTGTTTTGTTGCAGAAAAAGCCTGAAGATGAACAGCCAAAGCTGTCCAAGAAAAAACTTCGAAAGATGAACCGATTGAGTGTAGCTGAATTAAAGCAGGTTTGTTTAGTTCCTACACAATTTTATTGTTTAGGAGTTAAACTGGGTTTGGCCCTATAAGGTGGCCATAAGAAGGGCTGACTTTATTTGAGAGAGATTCTCTAAGCCTCCCTTATACTGATAATTTTTTTTTTTTATGATTTGTTTTATCTTCAGCTTGTCCCCAGACCTGATGTTGTTGAAATGCATGATGTCACTGCACAGGATCCTAAATTTCTTGTCTTCTTGAAGGTAACCAGACTTTATTGTGGTTGATATAAATGTAGTAATTTGCAGGGGTTTTTTCTGCTATGTGTACTGCTACATTTTAGCTTGGGCAGGTTGCATTTCAACAATTTTTTTTTGCAATTTGGTTTGTTAACATGACTCAACATCATTGGAACTGCTTCTCTGGTCTGAGAACCTGTATCTTCCCACACATTGCAGTTTGCTTTGCATTCATTGTTGCTCAGTGAAAGCTTTCATCTGTGGGAAAAGCATATTTAGCTGGCATTACTCATTCCTATAAGAACAGAACTTTCAACTGAGCTTGTAGATTACATTGTCGGTACATTATATGTACTCCTATTTTCTACAAATTCACTTGTCAAGTTGTTATTGGACAGTTTTTTTTTATCACAAAGTTCATTAAACCAATCACAAGTTTTAGTGTAGATCAACCAATCACAACCTTTGTTACAGTCACCATAGAAACAGTGTACAGATTCCTATATTGACAGTCCTGTAATGTAAATAAAATTTTCCCTTTCTTTCTTAACTTGGTTATTCATTTTGTTGTGGAAAGTGTAATTTTTTATGATGATTTGAAAGTAAGACCAAATTGAACTCCACTCAGTCCTATTGTCAGCTTATCTGTTCATTTGTTAACTTTTTTCTTTTAGCATTCTTTCTAAATTTCTGTGCTATTTTGGCTTTCAGTCTTGCCGTAACACTGTACCTGTTCCTAGACATTGGTGTTTCAAAAGAAAGTACCTTCAGGTGAGAAATTGATGTTTTGTTTTTAGTGAATTACAAAAAGTGTTTTTTTTTTTTTTTTTTCCAGAAACACTTCTGATTTTCTGAACATTGTTACCTCTCTGTTCAGTATTTGTGTAACTGGGAGAGTGAGTAAAAGGTATCTCTACTTGCAGGACAAGAGGAGAGAATTCTCAATTATTCCTGCGACTTACAATGCCTTTACATGCAAACTATTAAATATATAGATTCAATGTGTAATTAATGAACAATGTTCTTCTGATCGAGTTGGGGGTTCGAAGCAAAACAATTCTTCACAAATTTAACTCATTTAATTTAACGAAATAACAAGCTACACCAGTACAATAAAAAAAAAAACATGGTGGTCTCTTTGACCTCATGGTCAGACTAGTTCCCAGTCCTTGTAAACAAACAACATTACAGCTATTAATGAAGAGAAAATCTTAACTGTTATAACAGGGGCCTCACAATTTATTTTATGAGTTTAGCGATCATAATAATAATCTTTGAAATTGAGGTTATTTTTTGGATGTTTTGAAATGAGACCCAAAAGAACTTGTAACTTGCTCTTCTGTCGGAAAATTCAAATGTTTCACAACAGATTTACTTGAGTGGTTATGACTGTTTGACAAAGTTCCTATTAAAAACTTTTAAACACTGGTCCTGCAAGTCTTTTTACCTATGATTGGTATCAGATGAAAGCTTAATGTAGCAATTTGTTTGTTGCGGGTAGAAACTGTATAAAACAGGGAATTTCTTCCCTTGACTTAAATCTGACATTTTTTTTTTTTCAATCTTAACACTTTCCACATGATTTTTTTTTTCTTAGGGCAAAAGAGGTATTGTGAAGCCACCATTTGAGCTGCCAGAGTTTATAAAGGTTTGTGCTGGACAATCCTGATCTTTATTACCACCAATTTACTGTTTGTTCGTGCATGAAAGGCCAGTAACCGTTCTTTACACTAAATGTTTTCTATAAAATGCATTACTTGCTTTTGCAGAAAACTGGTATTATGGAGATGAGAGAAGCCATGCAAGAAAAGGTGAGCTGTTTTCTTTGCTTTCGCTAAAATCCTTATCCTTCCACGGGTTTATTCTGATTAGCTGTCTTTGATCAATTCTGGTTAGTATTTAGAAATTATTTTGTGAAGGAGTCCTAGAACTGTAGTGTTGACATTTTTTTGCATTGCAGGAAGATCAAAAGACTATGAAAGCAAAGATGCGAGAGAAAGTATGTCATTATTTTGTGTTTCAATTTCGTTTCTTTTGTTTGGTTTTGCTTGCACGAGGACTCTTTTTAATCGTGATGCTTTGTTTCGCAATGTTTTGTAGGTCAGACCAAAAATGGGCAAGATTGACATTGACTATCAAAAGCTTCATGACGCATTCTTCAAGTGAGTCAAACTTGTTACTCTTTGGCTGCTATAGAATGCAAGCATTTCCTCCTTTTACGGTAAAAGTCCGTCCCGCGGGTCTAAAAAGAATTAGTGCGAATACGCACAGTCAAGAAAATGAGTTAATATGGTGACTCAAAATGACCCAGGCTCACTGTGATTAAGATCATGACGTCACAGTGAAGTTCGCTACCAGTGTCCGAGGGTCGTGGGCTGGATACTTGAACGGGACATACCTTGAATTTGTTAATTTTCGAATAAATATTATTTTCTTGATCTTTCTTTCTAAATCATACAAAATATTTTAAACGAAGATAGGTCATGATTTTTCGTTTTATAAATCTTTCAGGTGGCAAACAAAACCAAAGATGTTCATCCACGGTGAACTTTACTATGAAGTAAGTCTTGGTTGTTATGTACTAAAGAGAGAATTAATTTCTTTGTCTGTAATTGAGATTTGTGTCGTAATTTAAAGAAATATCCCCTCTCCAACCTAGTTTATTCAGATACGATGAATATATGAAGTTCATATATTTTGAACTGCGGTTATAGATACGTATGATGCACGATCCTCGCAGTAGAGAGCGCTATTTATGCAATAGCGAAAATCAGACCTGAAAAAAATTAGGCCTGTACGGGATTCGAACCACTGACCTCTGCGATACCAGTGCAGCGCTCTGCCAATTGAGCTAACAAGCCAACTGGGAGCAGGCCGTTAAGTTGATTGTTGAATTAAGTTGAATCAACTTAACGGCCTGCACCCAGTTGGCTTGTTAGCTCAATTGGTAGAGCGCTGCACTAGTATCGCAGAGGTCAGTGGTTCGAATCCCGTACAGGCCTGATTTTTTTCAGGTCTGATTTTCGCTATTGCATAAATAGCGCTCTCTACTGCGAGGATCGTGCATCATACCTAGTTTATTCACTTACTCTCTCGCAGGAATTGAGAGATGCTGTCGTCGGACCCAGATCGAAGGGTTCGGGTTTGGGTCCTGCGGTCTATGTGTTGTGTTCTTGGTAAAGACACCTAACTCACATTATCCCTCTCTTCCCTAAGGAGTGTAACTGTTGCAGGCAAGTTGTCAAGGAAACCTGACGAAATCCTGGGGGAAGGGGGTGGAGGGTAATCCTGTGATAGTCGTTTATCTTATCCAGGGGGGAGTAGCAATACAGTGTACTTGGTCCGTTCTACTGAATCGAGGATAACCTCTGACAGGACGAGCCTTCAGGCTTTCAAACCGAATTTACGTATTTAATGTACGAAAATTTCTCTAAGCGTTGGTTTGAGTTGAACGGTAATGCTAACTACCTGACAAGTTACTACATTCTGTAAGTGTCATTTTAAAACGGTCTTGCTCTGTTTATTTTGTCAATCAGGGAAAAGAATTTGAAACAAGATTGAAAGAAAAGAAGCCAGGAGACCTGTCAGATGACTTAAGAACAGCCCTGGGTATGCCGATTGGCCCCAACAGTAATCTCGTTCCACCGCCCTGGTTAATCGCTATGCAGAGATACGGCCCACCGCCTTCATATCCCAACCTCAAGATCCCTGGATTGAATGCACCCATACCCGAGGTGAGATGAGATTTGCATTGAATTTTTCTGTTTCACCTTTATGGGGTGATACTGTTCGTTTTCAAATGAAGCCCCTTTCAATTCACGTTTCTTTTAGGGATAGTGTACTTGTCGCAAAAACAAAGAGTCGCCCGAGTTCTTTTTTTGTGAATTGAAGATAAGCACTGTTTTCCATATTTTAAATTCAATGTAGTTTAAGGTAAAACAATTATATGGGAAGTTAACCTTTTTCCGGTTGTAAATTAGATAGGAAGAACTGACTAATAAGAAAAAGCTGTTGAAACGCTCTAAATTGATTAGCCTGATTATGCTTTGGGTTCCAGGGTGCCTCCTTTGGTTATCACGCGGGAGGCTGGGGCAAGCCTCCAGTGGATGAACAAGGGAAGCCTTTGTATGGTGACGTGTTCGGTATACAGTCGCACGAGGCACCGACGATGGAAGAAGACGAGCAAATTGAAAGTCAGCCCTGGGGCGAATTAGAATCCGAGTCCGAAGAGGAGTCTGAATCCGAGGTACGTTTATTGGTTATTTTTTTTTTGTGAAAGCTGTGGCAGGATGGGAGGGCAGGAGAATTTCTGCATTTCTATCTGCCTCATATTGTCTCGCAACGTGCCTTTGGAGCTTTGCATTACGGCCCGAGAACGTGCGACAACAGAACGCATTGGCTAAAATAGCACTGGTTTAACTTTTTCTTTTTGTCAAACGAGTTTCTGTTACAATGGGTGATATCCTTAACCAAAATGATATATAAGGAGAGAGTTTTTATTCGACCATATGTCCTTTGTACAAGTAAGTTGCACAGGTAAAACAAAAAAACCTAAGATTATGAATCTGTGTTGTAGGAGGAATCGGAGGAAGAAGAAGATCAAACGGGTCTCATTACACCGGCGGACACGTAAGTTACTCATTGTGGTTAAATCATCTTTGAATCACACACAAAGGTCACGAGAAAATGGAAAATGATCACCAAGGATAGAAACCCTTGATTGTTAAAACAAATTCTCCTTGTCAACACCTTAGGAAATGCATGGAAATTAGTAGGGAGAATATCCATGCTGATGTTGCAGTGTGAAGGGTTAAGACGCTTGAGTCCACAGTAAATACATAAGGGGGAAAATGGAGAATTAAGTTGCACTGATGGTTGTGCCTGTTTTCTTGTGCAGTGGTTTAATCACACCGAGTGGTCTGACCTCCATACCAGCTGGCATGGAGACACCGGACATGATTGAACTGCGAAAGAGGAAGAACATCGAGGAGGCCATGGAGAGTGGTGCTGAACAACATCCGCTGTACACAGTACTGCCTGAGAAGAGAGTCAACGTGGGCGCCGCCATGATGGGATCTGCGCATGTGTACGACATGGCGACGGTAAGCTTCGCTAAGCGATTTAGTAACTCGGAGAAAGATGAGAACGGAATAAAGGAAAATGTAAGTTATCTTTGGGGGTTCGTATCCCTTCCAGAAAGTTTGCAGGGTTACAAACTGAGATAGATCAGAGAAAATCTCAACTGGAGATCGAAAGTAGTCCGAGATGATGTTGGTGTTGCTTTTCTTTGCCATGTGATTGGTCCAGGAAACACGCGCCTCCTCGATCAATCGGATTCAAAACGAAAACCAACCGTGACTTGGTCACTCGCATATAGCCCAGTATTGTAATGATTGCTAAATACTCATCGACAGCAACAAGAATGTTGGACTCAACGTGTGTTTTTTTTTTCTTCTTATGCAGGCAGCCGCAGGAGGTCCCAGAAAAGTAAGTTGGATTAGCCTTAATTAAATGACAGTTTTTGTGCTTGTGAGACCCTGAATCAGTATTCGTAGCTGTATGCTTTTTCCGCGTATTTTGATCGTGAAATTTGTACCGAAACTAATTCATGTTTTTACTTCTTCAGGCTGGTGCACCTCTCACCGAAGGCGTCGAGGTAGCACTGGACCCGAGTGAACTGGAGTTAGATCCAGCTGCCATGCAAGCCAGGTTAGTGTCTATTGTTGTTGATGTTTTCCTGAAACATAAATTGACACTTGCACTCCAGAGATTTGAGAGCTGTTTCTCCCCACCGGTGAAGATTTATTTCTTTGTGAGCCTGTACAGAGAATTTATTGATATATCAAGGACACATCTCGATACATCAATGGGCCATATCAATTTTCGCTCTGGGAGTAACTGTCATAAAAACGCTCACCCTAAGATGCGTGTTTTCCACTGGAACAAACCCTTGCACCTTTTACTTTCCTCTTAGAACCAGTTTGTAATGAACTCACCTAGTCTTTTTATTGTTTTCCTTTGAGTCGCGCTTAAATTTTTAAATTCGTTGGTTTATTTAGATACGAAGAACAACTCAAAGAACGTGAGAGTCAACTGCAGAAAGAGGATCTCAGTGACATGGTTGCAGAACACGCCGCCAAACAGAAGGTACCATGCCTGGATAGAAAAATGAATTCTTACTTAACGGACTCGCTATCTACAAAGCGAGACTCTCTTGTCGCGTAGCAAGTGAAATGACCTTAAAACACTCTGCTTCTCCGTAATTTTCTTTGGAGTTTAGATGTGATCAACTTCTTTTGTCTCACGAGGTCGATGTTTGGCAATTATTTAACCTTTTGACCTCCAAAACTGCGACTGCCATCTTATTTCTCCTTACAATATCACCGCTTTATCACACACACTAAGGTAACGAGAAAACAGGATGTGATCACCCTCTAGAAAAACTCTCTATTGTTAGAGAACACTATGGAGAAGATGCATACTAATCCAAGCTGTTAGGCAGTGAGCACGTTATAGACGCGCAGATTCAATAAGTTGATTCATTGATCTTGCGCCCATTTTCGGCAACGAAGTTTCAAAAAATAATCATGTATTGGCTTGTTTTCGTATTCTCTGTTCTGTGATTGGTATAGAAACTCTCGCTCCTCTCTCGACCAATCAGATACAAAACTAAAGCTAATTGCGGCGTGGTCGCTCTTGTTACTGGTGAGATTTATCAGTAGCTCCCTGACGTTTTTTCCCGTTGGCTGCTTCCCGGGTATTTTTAGTTTGTAAGTTGAAATTATTCTTTTTCCTTCATTCGCAGAAACGTAAGAAGGCCACAGACAGTGGGAAATCCGCGAAGAAATACAAAGAATTCAAGTTCTGAGAACAAGAATTTCAACATTCGTCTTTCCAAAGATATTGCGTCCTTTCTATCTGTACAGTACTGGTAAACGCGCCAAACTTGTGGTTTAAGACCTTTATTACCCATGCTTTTCTTTTTTAACCTTGTTTAATGGTTACAAACTCGACTAGTTTAATTAAAAGATTAAGAAAAAAGAAGGCGATGAATCTTTCTCTCACACCTTGGTGCTAACAGTTAATTGGCACATACCACTCACTGGCATATCTCTGCTTTTCCCTGACCCTCTTAAACTAGCTTTACTTTTATGGTTAAATTATCAAATTCATTGACGCTTACCTTACATTTTGGATAGTTTAAAATACTCGAAACACACCCCCGGAAATAAGTTTGCGTAATGGTCACTCTGGGAATTTGTCACACTATGAAATTAATGTCGTTGCGTGACAAATCTGTTAAGTACTGACTAAGCTTACAAAATGTAGGTTATAGATAAATGACAAAGACATGAAGGTTCCTAACTAAGCTAACTGTTTTCTCATTTGAGGTAATCCACGCTTTCGACTGCCTCCAGTGCAATACTCTTTCAGCAAAACTAGCAAGTAATAACAGCGGTCATAAACTGAAAAGAAAACAAAATTGGTATTAGTTGATCGAAAGAGTGAATTGCACCCGTGGTACCAGCTATTCTTTTTTTCTCATGTTAAAATACAGAGCTCGAGGTGTCTCTGGCTGGAAACACAAATGCGCCAAGCGAATGATGGGGAACCGTGGCGAGTTGCCTATATTTGTCTATCAAGTCATCTGTTGAATGCTTTGTTCTGATTGGCTGATATTTCTGAAAAATTCCTTTAAGGCACTCTGCGTGAAAATGGGCCATAAATGTGATTACTCTTTTACCTTGATTCATTCCTTTCTCAATTTGTTTCGATAATCATGAGAAATTTTTTTGCGGTTTCCAAAATGAACAAGCAGGGGCGTGGCTTTGCCCGTTATCACGAAAATGGCGAACACAAGTTTTGAATTCGTCGGAGAGGGTTACGAAACTCTAACAAATGTATAATCTAAAAGTATGGAGGCTTGTATGGTTTTCTTTTATTTGTTCTTTTTTTTTTGTTTTTGTTTGGGGGGAGGTTAAAGTGAAACGCCCATTTCATTGAGTCGTACGGAAAATGGCTGTTTTGTTGTCTGAATGTGACCAACGCTTCTCTTTCACCACCCACCTCGTCACATTACTTACAGTTAACGGCACAACTAAATAATGCTTCCTAAATGCATAATACCTACCCAAATTAAACGATACTTATTATTGCCTAACTGCATCAGCAATGTTAAATTCAACCGTTTAAAACTGTGAATATTACTGCATGCTCTTATTAGCTTCAGATTAACGTTAGCAAAGCTCTTTAAGTTTTCGTTACCAAGCAGTTATTTAGTCTTGATCAGATTACATGGTGAGGCAGGTACGTAGGAACTGAAAATGAAAATAGATATCACGTATGATGAATGATAAATGTAAGCAATAGTGAAATAATGGAGAGATTTGGCACCGCGTTTACCTGAGACGTGAACGGCAAGAGTGACGACGCGGCCACGTTTTTCCCGCCATTTTCTCACGTTTGCCTGTTGCGCTTTGCCGTTTCTACGTGAAAGTAACCTGTTTCACGTTTGCCGTGTACGTAAGATTTTCTTCCTTTTTTCTCTCGCAGAGTAGAAGTTAATTGCCGGAAAACTGGGGCATCAAAACTCTAGGCTATTCCTTGTAAGTCATATGCGGGCTCCTTTAAATTCACCAGGACGCGAGCTTACCAGAAGCTTAAGCACGAAGGTTCACGCTATGTTAAGTGAAACGTGAAAGGACAAGCTTACAGTTTCCGTTTCACGTAAACGTGGTGCTAAAGTGTTAAAGAGATAACCCAATGTTCGGGTAACTCTAAAAGTTAAAAAAAAAAATTATCAAGTAGATCTTGTGCAATCTAATTCAACCTTCTTCCTCGTTAGCCCTTTCATCCCTAAGAGTGACTGGCTTATTATTTCACCTTATTACCCTTGAATGAAATGCGAAGATCATTTTCCTTGTCGGCCGTGACTAAATTCAGAGAAGACCTGAAAAGCGATGACTTGACAGCGTAAACAACTGCTGTTCAAGTGCGGATGATGGCGGTCCTGGTAAGGACTGTTGTCTGTAAATGGTGACTAACATTTCGATAAACAAAGGCGAGTCACGACTTGACTCTGATGATGACTTATTGTCAGGTTCTCGAAACGTCCGTCACTTTTACCGATAAGAGTCCGTCTCTATCCCTTTCTTACCTCATCAACGGTAAAGGTGGCTTTGCCCGTACGGTCTGCATGTTTGTCAAAGTCATCTAAGGAACGAAAACCACGATTAACACATGCACATGCGCCAGGCACATCCTGAAAGAACTTGTCCCGGTTGTTCCATGGTATCCCCCCCCCACCTTCCTGGCAGTTCACTAGTACAAATTTAAACTATTCGGCAGCAGATCGAGTGGCAGCATCTGGGGTTCGGGGTTCCGGAGCCCCCCCCTCCCCCCCTCAGTCCTTTGGGTATTATTACTACTTGTCTGAAACCAAAGTTTTTTCCGGCGAGAGG